TCTCCCATGGCTGGCTGAGGATGTCCATATAATCCAGGATAAATCATTTTGATTCAGTGAGCAATCTCGTGCCTAACTACCTCTCCCAATCACAGCCATCACACTGGCAGGCTTTGCTGACAGATGACGCTACATTTGGCAGACAAATTCCTGACATTTACAGCTTCTGCCTCAGTTCCACTAGGAACAAGCCTGTGTGGCAACACAATCTGACCCCACTGGGTTCCTGGCTCAGCTCATCATCATTAGCTGTTTTAAAGGCAGCCTTCTAAAATAGCTGTGCTTCCCCTCTCAGCACCTCGCAGTGTGAATGCTGCAGCATGCTTACAGATGGCGAAAACAAGTCACAGCAAAACAGGCTGGTTCTGGGAAGCTTCTTCACAGTCATCACTCATACCGGGTAAGTGTCCGCAAGCTCTGTCTGAAACTGGGGCTATGTGTGCGGACACGTGTCGTCCCCACGAATTCCAGCACGAATGCCCCTATGCATGAATTGAAGGAAGTGTTTCGCCAGCTTGCTGGGCTGGCTCGGGGCCAGCGGGCAGAGCACTGCTGAGCATCTGCAAATCCGGCGCTGGAAGTGCTGCGGTTCCCCTCTCCCGGTGGGCAGTGAATGCATACTGCCCACTACAGCTGGGAGCTAACCCTGCTGCCGTGCTCCAGCACCCTTCTGCTCCTCCCAGGAATCCATTGCCGGGCTCAGACCCACTGCCTCTGGTGTGTGCAATTCACAGTGACCCACGGGCTGGCCCCACTCTGCCTGCTGCCCCAGGAACTGGGGAAATCAAGATACATTGGCTCTGACATTTAATGCTTCTGTCTCATTTGCTTAATTGCATTCCCTGGCTCCGGATCATTCTAAAGGCTTAGAGAACAGGATCAGATTTCCCAAGATGTTCAAGTGCCTACAGCTGTAGGTGGGCTCCTATTGGGATCTTCAAACATTCCCAAACTGGCAAGTCAACTAATTACCCCCCCAAAATCTATTTAGTTTTTCTGACTCTGTGGGAAGGGGCCAGTCTCAAAGGAACCAGAGAGTTCAATGTTTGCATCAACTGATGATCAGCCCGTAAGAGCTCGTTGTCTGTCCTATCCTCTAACCCACCCATGCACCCTATGGCCGAGGCTATCGCACCGTTATACCGCATTTGCCTTCATTCAGCACCTTGGTCTGATCAGTGCCTGATGTTGAAATCATGAGTACAAAGAAAAATGTGCATTTGAAGAGCACCTTCAGGCAATGTGCCTGTGCATCCGGACCCTGAGCCTTCCAGACCAACAGCCTCCTGTAACCTGCATTATTTTTCTTGCCTTTTGTAACATTAAAATTCTTGCTTCATTTTTAAATCCCAGATTAAATAAGCAATACCTGTGTTTTCCAGTGGCTGTTTTGGAGCTCTTCTGAAAAGCACAGTTTTCACTTCCATGGGCTTTCCTTGCATCCTGTGTTCTCCCTATGGGGATGGCTGAATGGAGCAGATTCACATGTGTTCACATTTACAGAAAGGATATTGGGGTATTCAGGGGTTGAGCGGGTTCCTCAGGCTCTGAATGGGCTAGCATTTAAGCTCAGAAGAAAACTTGAGGGCACCTGAACCAGCTTTTTCTTTCTTGCACCATGTTTAATCCTTGCTTGTGATCACCTGATGCAGATCAGAGCGGAGCTTTTCCTCCTGCTGCACAAATTCTTCCCCCTCCTTGCTCCGCACGCCTTTCCTGGCTGAAGCACTCCTTTGGAAGGCAGCAGACCAGGAGTACTCACATAGAAATGTCCAAGGGTAGGACGTCGCAGGTCCCTTGCCTGCCTTTTCTTCTTGCACCAGCTGTGCCCAGAAATATTGGCAACAAAAAAGCAAAATTTTCTCAGTTCAAAACTGAAACTCTTTTGAAACAAAAATCATTACATAGAGATCATTCAAATAATTAAAAAATCATCTTGTACAGATTTATAATTTTTGCAATTGAAATTTTTCACCTGAATGGAGACTTTCATGAGAAGTGAAACTTCCATCTCTACTGCAAGCATTTGCCCACTCCAGCTTCTGGCCATGTCTAACTCTGCCCTGGTATTTGGGGGTGTTTGCTGGATTTGCTTAGGGCATCTTCAGAGGGGAGAGGTTTGTGTGCCCATGTCCAAATGCACACTTGGTGGCTGGGTGCCCATGTTGTGTCGTAGGCCAGGGAGGCTTCTCTGGCTGTCCCAGGGCTGAGCACTGGCCCCTAAGACAGCGGTCTGGGGAGCCTTTTTTTTTTTTTTTTGTCCCCTCCTGAGGCTTTGAAATTTGCATGTTGATGTTTTTTATTATTCCTGGGATCTTTCCAGCCCTCTGCATGTCCTCTGGCAGGACAGTCCCTGCACATTCCTGCATTTACACCTTCCCTTCCATTTACAACCTGACCCTCTGAGTGCCAAAAGGTTTTCTACTGAGGAAATAAAACCTGTGTGCCCTGGAAGCTGCAAAGTCACAGGCTGCTCAGGGCACACTGCAGCATGGTGACGAATATCCCTGCATGGCACTTTCTACTGCGTACAGGCCAAACCCAATTGACTCGAGAGCGGCTTTTTTATATGACTTGCCTCAAGAGCAGGACTAATAACAGTTTTACATGGCAGATGTGTTACAGGGCTTTCATTCTGTTTACATGGCTGGGAAAGTGAGCCATCTTACTTTTCATAGCTGCCACCTGTTGGTCAAATTCATTCCAATGCAATCAACCAAGTCAGGGTTTTGTTTTGCTTTTTTTTTTTTTTGTTTTGTTCTGGTTTTAATTATTATTGTCTCTGGGAATTCAATTCTGGGCTTTTGGATAAGTGAGCAGAACAAGCATTTCTCCAGGTCTTACAATGGCTGCTTGAAAGGGTTTACTGATGGTAGAAAATCTTCTATCTTTCTGCTTGCTTGCAAGTTTTTCAAAAAAATAAACCAACCAAAACCAAACCTTTGAACAGGTGAGCACTCAGTCAAAGTGGTGGAATGATTGATTTGAAGCCCTCTCACAATGCTTTGTCCAGGTCAACAGAGGACAATAATTAAAAGATCCGTATCAACGTGGCTCGGGTTTCAGGCAAATTAAGAGCCGAAGAATGCCAAGAGCCTCTTTGCCTTGACAAAGAGAAAGGTCACATACTATTCCCTAAACTAAAGCTTCTTTCACAAATTCCGCTATACTAAGATCATATCCAGTCCATTCTTATTAAGTAATGATTTTCTTTCTTTATTTTTATAACAGTCCTTGCTTCTGCCTTATCATTATGCTGTGTAGTGACAAGGGAGCAGAAATGGAGAAGCCTTCCCGGGCGGCCATCAGAGAGGTGAGCTGTGCTTCTCCTGCCCAGAGAGAGGGCATGGGAATGGGCAGAATCCCAGCACGTGGGGGCAAGCGCTGCTTTTTCAAAGTGTTCATTGGTGGTGTCCTGTCCCCACATGCAGTGGGGGTCCTGGCTCTCAAAGCATCCAGACCTTGACAGGAGATGGGAGCTGGGAGCAACTGTCTTCCCACAGGTGTCTCACTGGGGGTGCTGGGGCTCCAGACACCACCTCCACCCCTTTCTGCTATTCCTGCTTGTGGGAAGCGATGGAGGCTGCCAGCTCTGTATCTGAGGCTAAGGGAGCCTCCTTGGAGAAACGCCGCCCTGAAGGATCTCACTTGGTACCTAGCCCTGTTCCCCAAATCCCTGCTGGAGCTCTAAGGAGCTGACATCTGAAAGCCTGGCTGGATTCACAGCCATGCATGTCTTTGCACCTCCTGCACTGAATGCAAAACCAGCTCTGGTGAAACATCTCTGCTCTCGGGAGCTCCCCCACGCTGGTGGTGATGCCAGTGGTCCAAGGCCACCTCTGTGAGAGGGCGAGAGACGCTCCCAGGCTCCATAGCACCCGGCTGGTGCCTCAGCTGCTGCGGGGGCCTTCTCGCCGTTTGCACACCTGCGCACAGCTCGTCTCTGGGTAGGAAGCCATGGACTTTCACAGCCACATCGCCAAGACCCTCAGCCTCGGAGCGGGGTGGGCACAATCTGTTAACAGGGGGTCCTCTGGGGGGATATCACTGAAGTGATTCAAATCCCCATAGTGATTCTGTGGACTTCTACGGAAGAGCAAATGACACTGTGAAAAGAGGAGTCTCTTTGTGGTGGTGAAAATTTAGGAGTGATTCTACCACAGGCAGTGGAGCAATTCTGATACAGGCAAGGAGGAAATCACGCCGCCTCTTTTCTCAGTATGGGCAACAAGAATGTGCTTTCTGTCCCGTGTGGTACTGAAGAACGGGATGGGGAGAATTGGTCTTTGTTTTGAAAGCACTGGAAATCAGAGACTTTCAAAGCATTTGCAGGGAAATGCCTATAATTTAAGAAGATTATAGGAGAGTTTTGGTTAATGTAACTGTTCGATTACCTATAGAAAATGGAATTTATCATGTAGGAAAAATGGCTGAAGGAGAAAAAAAAACCTTCTTAAAAGAATCTGAAGATGGTGTCACTGTTCATTTCAGTGTGATCTTATTTTTAACTTCTACTGAGAAATTTTGACCGTATCTGTGTATTTTTACAAAGTCCTTAGGGATCCGCTGCAAATTTCTTGTACTTTTTGGGAGGGAATGTGATTTTTAAAAAAACCTAGAAACTAGTCGTATACTGCTTATTTGTTTTTACCCGCATTTGTATGTCCATCAGACAAAGTTCTGATAATCACTATAATAAGGGCTGTGTTTATTTTGCCAGAAAATCTTCTTTGTTATAAAAAAATCTCACAGGAAAAACATCTGTTTGGAAAAAAAAAAAAAAAAAAAGCATTTTCCTCTGACCAAGAAAACCTGCTTGTTTAAGAGTGTTTAACTTTCTTCAGAGCAAGTCAGGAAAAAGAAAATGAAATGAAAAAAAATAATGTGGGCCTCTGAGAATAATGGTAACAACTTCTTAGGCTGGCTGCACATCTGGGGGGGGGGTGGTGACTGTGCTTTTTCTGTCTAAATACAAATGACTTCTGAGATTTCATATCTTTATGATATTTATTAAGGTGGACCAGCTCTTCAACAGCAACCTGTCCAAAATACCAAAGCGCTACAATTCCACCTTAAAGCAAATGTTCACTGAAGTGAAGCTGAATTTCGCACAGCCAGGTAAAGACCAGTGGAGAGCTCTTACTGCAGAAAGAGAGGTCAGGCTGAGCCTCTGTCTCACGTTTCACCTAGCTCCCCTGTCTGTAGCGTGGCAGAGGTGGGCACCAGATGAGAGGGGAGGAGATGAGACGGTGAAAGGGGTGATGACAGACGGGTACCACCCATACGTTCCTCCTCCAATGCATTTTCACATCTGTTTGGCATTTCAAGGGTAGTTTTCCTATGAGCATCACTCAGAGACATCCAAGCAGGTGAGATCCCACACTTGAAAGGCCAGGAAGGCAAAGAGTTTGCCAGGGAGGTATAACTGACACGTGTGGTAAAGTGTGGCTGTATAAATTAAAGGGCTGAACGAGCCTCCAAAGAAATGTGGACTACCCAGCCTCTCTCCCAAAATCAGTGGGGTCTCTGGGTTTTCCTTTTCCTCCCAGGGAGCAGGTATTTTTCCAATGGTCTGAACTCCCAATCCAAACTTTTCCAGATCCATAAGTGCATGTATTTTGTTACTCCCCAGATGTTACTATTTTTAAGATCTGGCTCACCTATAGAAAATAGGACTCAGATGCTTAGAAGTCTTTTTAGGAATGCTGCCTGGGGCAGCAAACAGTCTTCGTCTTTTAATATCTCCTTTCACCCTGTGGGGTTTGCTCACTTGTGGCCTCACAAATAAAGCTGTAGCCCTATACATGCTTCCATTGCCTTCTGTCTCGCCAGTGATGCAGTTTGCCTGGGCATGAAGCCTCCAGCCCCAGAAACATCAGTGGGTACCGAAGGCTGCGGGGTTCCTCCTCTGCAGTCCAGGGCAGAGGAGCGCAGCCACCCTGTCTCTTCCTCCATCTGCTGGCATCTGTAAGGTGGAAGAAATGAGGGACAGGGCATTCGCTCAGAAACTGAGCCTTTAAAGTGCCTTTAAATACCTTAGTTGAGTGTCTTTTCTCCCCGACTTACCAGTCCTGCTGCAAATGCAAAAAGTGGCAAAGATCTCTTTATGAGCATTTTCAGTGGATTTTGTTCAATGGAATAAACATACATGTGTAAAATTCAGCAAAGCCAGCACTGAGACTGCTGCTATAACAGTGCTGAGGTAGTACGATAATCAAATCAACATCATAACTGAAGCTGAGGCAATGAGCCTCAGTGAGGCATCAGTGAGCTCAAGCAGCAGGCGTCCATTACAAATCATGGGATCCCCACACCAAGGAACATGTGTGCAGGTGCCCAGAGCAGATGTTTTCCTTCCAACAGGTGTCTCAAATATTGTTACGCTCTTCATGGGCACAGGGCGTGATGGTCCGTAGTGGTTTTTGGAACTTCCACCCAGGGAGGCAGCCCCGCATGTGAAAACCAGGTCAGCTCTGGTTAGGGCATTAGAGGAGACAGGGGCAGCCTGATCTAGCAAGGAGGCAAGCTCTGCTTTGGCTCCTCTGCTGATCCAGTTGAGCAGGATCATCTTCTGCTCTGTCTTGTGTTAAAAGAAACCAGTTGCTTTGACTTAGAAAGCATCTTTAGGCTTTGGGATCAATTATGTGGCTTATTACTTTTGGAAACAGGTTTGATCTATTCAACTCACAGCAGGGAGGTGGGATGCCGCTATGGAAAGCCCAGCCTCTCCTGACAGTTTCCTTGCAAAGTCTTCTATTGAGGTGTCACAGACAATGTTTCTTCTGTATCACAAACGCTGAATGTGAGTTTGGTCCATGGAAAAAAGAAAAAGCCATCCATCTGGAACTTCATATAAGTTTTTTTTTAACTATTAATGGATTTTCTGTCATTATTTCATTAACTCTTGAAAAATATTGCCTGGTGGGAGATTAGGGAAGCGGCTGAAGTCTAGAATTTTTTCCCATGATATTTAACACGTAGACAGGGCTACCTTTCCATTTCTGTCAGGATGAGAGCCACTTAGAATAAAGAAATTCAAGACTGCTGCACACCAGACACAGGCCATATTTGGGTAACTTTCCTCGTGAGAATCAAGTACAAGTTTCAGACTAAGTCTTCAAGGCACGCTGTGGCATGGATCCAGTCTATCTAAAAGATTGCCTGTAGCTCTGGAATGAGGACAGTGAGGGAAAATCCTTTCCCAAACCACAGTGAGACTTTCTGTTTCCCAAATAAAACTCCTCTGTGTGGCAATGCCTTCTCAGGGATGGATGCTCACGCTCTCCTCCAAGGTAGTAGGGCTTCAAACACTGCCATATTGCTGCTGGATACCACTGGGCTTTAAGAGATCACCATCAAGCACTGTGGTCCCTGTTGTTTTTCTTTACATGGGAAACATCTCTCATAGGTCTCTCCGCCAGGATGCTGAGTGGGTGCACTTGTCCAGGAACACAGCCCTCCAGCCAAGCAGTGAGATCTTTGCATCTTTTCTGGCCAAAATTTCCTTTCTCTACTGTCTATTAGCCAGGCTCCTCCAGAAGGCAATGAGAAGCTGGTGAGGTCTGGTAAATGAGGCTGGTGGGACTAGCAGCTGCATTAGGTGGCTATCTCACTGACCAGCATCGTGAGCACAGAGAAGTCACAAGTCTGTTTTGAAGAAGCATGTTGCACATGGTCTTTTTTCAATTATAGTTACTGCCTTACTAAGGTGGCCTCTGCTAGGTGGTAGTAGTGGCCGGAGTGTCCTACAAGGGAAGAAATGCAGAGCTCCATAGGAAAGACAGTAACCAAGGTGCCTGGCTACTGTTTGAAGGAAGCAGCACTGGACTCTTTGGCAGGTGACATCTAGGGGGATTTTTACCAAGAAGCCTGGAGTTCTCCGAAGGTTTTAAGTTCAGTCAGTTGATGAGCAACATAAACTCTGGGCTCAGAAAATAACAGGCATTAAAGGTGATCAGGGATTTACAGTCTGCATTCCTAAAACTCTAGAGGGCAAGGTATTAGGTGGAGGCTAGAACCATTTATTTTAGTTATATTAAATGGAAACTCTAGACACTGTCTGACTCTGCTTGTTCCTACTGCTAACACCACCTGGCAGAAAGGTTATGTTATTATTATCTGCTGGTTACTTTTCTCATTTTAAAAATCTTTCAGCCTCCCAATCAGAAATAGGCACAATGCCATGGGCTCTAAGAGACCAGGCTCAAATGAGCAAAAGCAATCAGATACAGTAAGTGGTTGCAAACATTTTTCATCCAGCTATCTGGGCAATCCTCAGGAATGCAAAAAGGATACGGATAAAAACAGCCTACTATCTGTAAAAAGGGATGACAAGTAATATTTTTCAGAAAGACACAGAGCAGCTGTACTCATGAATCTGCAGCTCAGGTGAATGCTGCTTCACCCATTCCCCCTACATAGCCAGCAGCTAACCATGACTGTGGGAAGGACGGGATGGGGTGGGCACTGGGCCTCCAGCGGGTCTGCCACCTCCTACGGGGTGCCACAGGCTCACCAAGCTCTGTGCCTCACTTTGTTCCATCGAGGAATAGCTTGGGGAGGTGGCTGTTGCGTGGGGTTTTCCCAGGTATGCGGCAGGTCCAGCCAGCGAGCATGGTGAGAGCTCAGCAGGGCCGCGCTCAGGGTTGTACGAAATAGAGTCTATCTCAGGGCCACCTCTGCTGCATCTGTAAAATTTGCCAACCCCAAAAATGCAGAGGAAAGGGGAATTTTCCCCATACCATTGAAAAGCCTCGAGCCGATCCCCATGTTCAGCACCTTGGGAGAAAAGATCCTGGCAGGTGAACGATTCTCCGCTTTTACAGCAGTGCAAAGTGAAAATCTTGTTTCAGGAGCATTTATGCTCCCTTTAGGAGGCAGGAGGAGTGAAAGCCTGCTCGAGGATGGCAGCTCATGCCCCGTGTGTCTGCGCAGAGGTTCGCTATGATGTTTCCAGGTCCCGTTGCTCTGCCTGCACAAGGTAGATCCAAGCTGCTGACCTCCACCCCACTCAGTAAACCAGGGAAACCAAATCCATTTTACTCCCTGGGTCCTCCTGTAATGATAGGACCCTCACAACAGCTCTTTTTGCAAGGCAACTGCACCAAACACACCAGGAAGAATAAATTAATTCTTAAAAATAAACAGCTGGCCATAAAAGAGTCCAGGAAAACCCTGGCCTCTGCTCTTCTGATAGCCTAGGGGTCTCCATGACAAATCACCCTTGCTACCTACCCCCAGTGAATATTCCCTGCTTGTCAGGCCAGCTAATTGTTTTGGAGTGGATGTAATACATCTCCTGCCAGGAGAGGTTTGTGAGGCACATGATGCTGTAAACGATCTTCTGTTTATCTAATCTCTTCTCTTGCTGCTATCATTGCACATATATACAAACTCTCTTTATAGCTTCCCTCCAGCCACTGCTCTGGTTACAAGCTTAAACAAGTCCTTGCTCATTTTAGAGCTACAGGCTTAAGGAAATGAATGCAATAGCACTCGGCTGTTATTGCCTCCTAGCAGGCGAGGTGGTGTGCTGTCCCTACTCAGCCTGCTTTCATGGCCAGGTAATGATCTTTGCAGAAATTCCTCTCCACTCGACAGCTGCTCTGCGGGGACACAGGTGTGCTGTTCTTTGCTCATCTCACATACGCAGAGACAGCCCTAGTTTGATTCAACATATGGAAATAAGCCATAAAACCAGATCAACATACCCAAGTCAGAGGAAGGTACGAGAAGTATGCCACCCAAGAGCTGGATCAGGATTTCTGCTGATGAGATGGCAATGCAGCTCACTAGAAGACACTTAGGCAAAGCTGAAGGAAGATGGGACATGAACACACCATCCAGCACCCAGCACACATTCCCAAAGCAAGTGCTTAAGCCACAAGACTGCAATAAAAGTGTGGCTTAGTGTGTAGGCCAGTACTAGAAGTGACCTTTTCTCTGTGTTGCTAGAGGGAAATATGAGACCGGAGAAGGTTTTATGATAGCTTATAATCTCCCTATCACTTCTGCAGTGAGTGAGCGGGCAGGCGATTAGGTTTTAATTGAAAAATTGGAGAGAATGGGGGAAAAAACAGAAAAAATAAATGCTCGAGTCAGCAAGTCACATTAGTGACAGCAGCTAATGTTTCTAGCATGAGCTCTAAATCCTTAGCCTCCCTCCAAAGCAAACATATTATGCATTGTTCGTAACGCTCTTAATTGGAAATATTTAGCCATCCAAATAGTAGAAGTACATTCATTTATTTGCTCAGAGCCTGGATCAACATT